CCTCCCTCTCCAGTCTCCAGCAGGAAAGCCCCTGTGTGTAACAGGCGGGAGTCACCCTCCTGGCAGTGAGAAGCTGGATCCGACTCCCCGCTGGTCAGGTTCTTTGTTGGTCACCTTTTGAAGAGCTGCCCGTAGTCAGCCCTGCTGTGCTTTTAAGAGCAGTAAGAGCATCACCGAGCTTCCTACGAGCCTTTGAGGCACAGTCCCTGCCGGGGAAGCCTACTGGGAGGTCTGCAGACAGTAACTGTTTTAGACAGTGGTGGACTCCAGTGGATTTTTTTTTTCCCCCGCTACAGAGGACTTGAGACATTAGAAAGAAACAGCCCTTGCAGAATTGAAGACCCGGATCCTAAAACTTACTCGGCTGCCTAGAAGAAACTTGAGAGCCCTTCTGATAAGTTCTGACAATAAGGCACTTCACTGGCTCCCATCTTCATCTGTATTTATTAGCACACGCGCGTACTGCATGTTCACCCCCGTGTGGAGTTGGTGCATGCACATAATGCATCTTAATTCCTTTTCTTCCTCCACCTCTTCATCCCATAAAGATCTCCCCATTTCCTTTTTTTGAGACGGGGTCTCACCATGTAGTTGAGACTGACCTGGCACCCACTATGTAGCCCAGGCTGGTCTCAAACTCCCAGCAATCCTCCTGCCTCAGCCCCCCGAGTGCTGGGATGACAGGCCTGCACCACCATGCCCGGCTCCCTATTTTCTATTATCCAAGTTTTCTTTTGCTCTTTATAATTCGGGTTTCTCTATATGATGTATAAGCTTGTGTGTCTAATTTATTTTACTTAACATTATGGTCTCAGGGTGCACATATTTTCCTACAAATGACTCAAGCTCATCCTTTTTGTGGCAGATTAATATACCACACTCATTCTCTCTCCCTTTTTCTTCAGTACCAGGGATCGAACTCAGGACCTTGCACTTGTGAGGCAGGTGCGGCGCCACTGAGCTAAATCCCCAGCCCACACCACATTCCCTTTATCCATTCATTTTTAGCCAGACACAAACACCATCCTGTGTGGTTTGATGGGAACGGCTAGAACTTTGAAATCAGGTGTGGGTTCAAATCCCAGCCACCTGTGTGTGAGCTCAAACTTTGGAGGCTGGGAAATTTTTCATCTGGAAATCTCACAGGTTGACCATGAGATAAAATGTACAGGGATTGCAGTGACTGATTCCTGACAGCTGTCAGTATTGCCGCCATCAGAACTGTTTTAACAGGTGTATCTCTTGACTAATTCCCAATTTAGGGATCAATTTTACTGTTGTAATAAAGTCCAGAATAACAGCCAGTTAAAATAGATATCTATTCTCTAGATTCATTCATAGGAAAATGGATACATATTGAAGATATACTCCTAAGTGAAATAAATAAGTCACACATGTGTAAATACCAAATAGTTTCCCTGGTGTGAATATTCTGCAACAATGCATAAGATTCTAATAAGATTACTGACATTTAGAAATTTGAAGAAAGGAGCTAAAGGTGTAGGGAAGGTGTGATGGGTAGGGGAAGAACAAAAAGGGAAAAGAAAAAAATGTGAGAGAATGGAAAGATGAAAATAAAGTGTTTGTAGATGGGGAGGGGAGGAGGGGGTGAAGGGAGGGCAGAGGTAAGGGGAAAAAATGAGAATCAAGACTTGCCATGTAAAGGTACATGATCCCAACAATGAATGTAACTGTACTGTATCCCTAAAATGTACCAATAAACTCAATAAAAAAAATAAAAAAAAATAGATATCTATTCTCTCTCAACCAAGAGCTTGTAAGATGATCAGCGCTGATGTAGTGTATTAGGCAACTTTCTGTTCAATGAAAACTACCCGAGAGAAACAGAATGGGAAAAAAAAGGGGGGCTCATTTTGGCCTAGAGTCTTGGAAGTTTCAGTCCACGGCCAATGAGCCCTGTTGCTTTTGGGGCTGTGACGAGACAGCACATCGTAGGGGGAGCACATAGTGAAGCAAAGCTTCTCCCCTTAGGCAGATGGGAAGCAAGGAGGGGACCTGCAGGAGCGGGGCTCCATTCCGCTCTAAGGCCACACCCCCAATGACCTAACCTCCTCCCACTAGGCTCCACCTCTTTTGGGGGGGTGCAAGAATCAAACTCAGGACCTTGCACTTGTGAGGCAGGCGGCAGCACCACTGAGCTACGTACCCGGTCCTAACACTTCCCAAGGCAGAAGAAAATAATGTTCAAGAATCCTGTATCTGCTTTTAAAAAAATGTACCAGAATGTACCAAGAACTCTTACAACCAACAATAAAAAGACAAGTGAATATAACCAGAAAAAAAAAAACTGGAAAACATTGTAAAGATATCAAATTTTCTGATGTCAAGAACTTAAAAGGTGCTCTACTCAGCATAACTGTGTGAGTTCAGCCTATGAACTGTGTCTAGGTATGTCCTTACATTCAGGTTGTCTTGGTTTCTAGAGTTTGCAGTACAGACACTTCCAAAAAATAGCATGAACTAAGAACTACCTATGCCTTAAGGAAAAAAGTGAAAGGGGAAGTAACTTACAAACTATACTTGAAAATCATTTAAGCATAACATTACCATTGTAATTTTAAAAGAACTAGTTAGTTGTGACACATGCCTATAATCCCAGCACTCTGGGAGGCTGAGGCAGGAGCATCACAAGTTCAAGCTCAACCTGGGTAATTTAGCAACTTAGACACTGTCTTAAAAAACAAAAAGGACTCAAGATGTAGCTCAGTGCAAAGGCACCCCCCCAGAACCACACACACACACACAAACCAAACTTAAAAATGGACAAAAGGACAAGTAATCCCAGCACTCAGGAGGCTGAGGCAGAAGGATTGCTCTGAGTCCAAGGCCAATCTGAACTATATAGGGAGACCTTGACTAGGAAAAAGTTTTTTTAATGGACAAAAGAAGCAGGGCGTAGTATTGTGTGCCTGGAATCTCAGGACTCAGGAGGCTTGAAGCAAGAGGATTGCTGTGAGTTGGAGGCCAGCCTGAACTACACAGCGAGACTATCTCAAAAAAGAAAGGGGGGGGGCAGAGGATTTGAATGCGTGTTTCCACAAAGACACACAAATGGCTGATAAGTACATGAAAGGAAGGAAGCTCAACACCATCAGCCATCAAGGGGATGCAAATCAAGACCGCAGTGAGGTAGCACTTGGCATCCGGTAATACTGGGGAGGACACAGTGAGTGCACGCATACATCACTGGTAGGTGAAATGCCACGGCCACTTGGGCAAACCAGGTGGGAGTTACACACGTTCAGAGTGTGGGTACCAAGGCCCAGCAACTTAGTTCCTACATACAAACCCAACAGCAATGAAAACACCCACCCCCCACCACAAAAACAAAACCAAACTCTCGAACGTGAATGTTCACATCCGTGTTGGTCCTAACTACCAAGCGGTGGGCGAAAGTCCAAATGTACCTCGAAGTGATACGGGGGCGGGGGGGAATACGGACCTCCCAGCCGGCTAGACGTCAGATGCGCCGATTTCGTGGTCCCCGAAGTCAAATGAATTCTGAGGAATGATGGAGGTTAGGATAGGAAAATGTTTCGGGGAATAGGAACAGCTTCTGAGACAGGAGGGTCCCGAATGCGTTGCTGACAAGCTCATTTCTCGGAGAAAGTTTCATAGGGCGAAATCACGAGGTGGGTGCAAGGCGGGTGAAAAGCGTAATCAATAGGATTACAAGGATAGCCGCTCGGCTAACAGTGACCCAGCAGTAGTAGGAGCCAGGGTATAATATGGATGACAACACTAACCTTGGAAAATCTATAGTCTTGGCTTGGTCTTTGGTCTCCGTGGGAGAGGATGGCCCACCCCTCAGGAGATAAGAGTTTATTTATTCTGGGACATCGCAAAAGGGCGGAATGATCATCTCGGGCTTCCCTCTACCCCTGAGGGAAGTATGTCCATCTGGCCGTTGTGAGTGCAAGCTCCTTCAGTCCCAGTATTCATGGCGATTCTCCTGCCTCAGCCGCCTGGCTGCTGGGATTGCAGCTGTGTCCCACTACATCTAGCAGTATTCTGATTCCATTTTTTTTTTTTAAACCAGAAATGTCTAGTAGAGGCAGAACTAGAAAGACAGAAAGCAGACGGGTGCGAGATGTGGGAGATGGTTTATTCTATATACAGAGCACACCCGGTGGGCGGGCAAATGAATTCACAGACTTAAAAGTCCTTGTCTGACAGACCTGGAGGGAGCCAGGGCCCTGCTTCCTTGCCTCCGCTCTTCTTCAGGCTTCTCGGCCAACTCTGCCACTGGAGCACCGGCACTGGAGTCCCTCCGGCTCCTCCCTGGGGACCACCACCTTGGAGACTGCCGGCTCATGGGAGCCGTGGGGGTCCTCTCGGGTGGGCCTGGCCCTGCCCCAAGGCCACCCGGCCCTGCCCCCAAGACCAGCCTCTGCTAAGGAGCAGCGAGCCGTCTGCCCCGGCGGAACCCAGTGAGGTCACAAGGGCTGGCGGCAGATGGCAACGTTCCGGACGTCCAGCTTGGAGACTGCTTTTGACACAGGTGATAAAAAGGAGCTGGAGCCGGTGACAGGGAGGGGTTGCCAAGGTGCTGTGCGTGGGGGCAGGGTCTGGGGGCCGTCTACACTCCAGCTCCTCTAGGAGGGAGCCAGGCGGCGCTCTGGGTGGGAGGTGGGCACAGAAGGCGCTACAAAAACGCTATGCTCCGTGTTTCCTTCTGCGCTCCCCCGTCCTCCCAGGCCAGCCCCGGGGACCTCTGTCACCTTGCTCCTGCCTCCAGCCCAAGCCACCCCACGACTAGGTGGGAATCCTCCTCCTCCTCCTGGCTGGTCACCTCCCCCTCTTCACCCCCTGGACCGCTGTCAGGGTGATCATCGGTCACCTGCACCCCGGATGTCCCCGGAGGCGCTGCCACACGAGGCAAAGGCACCATGGACAGCCGGCCCTCGGACGGGAGCCAGCGCTTATCCAAAGGCAGCGCCCTGCACTCGGAGAACCAGAGGTCGGGCATCCCGGGTCCTCGGAGGGTGGAAGAACCCTCGAGGTCTCGGCCCATCCCCACCAGGGCCCCGTCCCCAACCGGGTCCCGGCAGGCGCTGATCCCCACCCCGATCCCCACCCCGACCCCGGCAGCTACTGGACCACGGAGCGCGACGGCGAGGTGCGGCTCCGCCTGGGCAGGGACGCGAATGACCAGGAGGCGCCGCTCACCGTGCACGACATGGTCATGCACTCGGCCGTAAAGTACGTCAACTACATCGCGCTCGGCACCAAGCGCAGGAACCACTGGCACCTGCTCACCTACGGCGAGTACTACGAACTGTGTCGCCGCGCGGCCAAGGGCTTCCTCAAGGTAGCGCGGCGAGCGGCCCAGCCTCTCCGGACGCTCCTGCGCCTGCGCGCCTTTCCCGGGCCTTCCCCCGCTCACCTTCTGCGCCTGCGCAATTCTGTGGCTCTCCTCTCCTGCGCCTGCGCGGGTCGCCACCCCATTCGCGTTCCCGTGCCGTACTCATCTTTGTGCGCCTGCGCGTACTCCCCGCCCTCCCTCCCTCCCTCCCTCTCAAGCGCCTTCGCGGCGTTGCTGGCTTGTGACCTTATGTTTCCTGTCTTCAGGACCCCTGAGAACCGGATTTAGAGCTGGGGCTTGTGTTCATGGGTTCGAATCCCAGCCCTGCTGAAAGCCGCGGGTTCTTGTACAAATTACTTTGCCTCTCTGCCGCTCATTTTCCCCATATGTAACATAGAGATTTGCGTATAAGTATAATGTATAAAATACAGGCTTTACATATGATGCATGTGTAAAATAAATGATTACTATGATATCTATAAATGTACAATGTTTAAAACGTATCTAAAATATCTGCTGTTTACATATCAATCATACATGTGATACCTTTATAATACATTTAGTATAAAATGTTATATATGAGTTAACAAATATAACACAGACAAAATATATATTATTTGCAAGTAAATATAAGTGCTATCAATAAATTATTCATATTTGAGATCACTTAGCTTGCAGGTTTGCCCCGAGGATTCGGTGGTTGACCCAGTCAGCCCTGCAATTTGGTAATTTGAGACAGGGCCTCCCTAGCCCAGGCCGACCTCAGATTCACAGCAACCCTCTTGCCTCAGCCTCCTGAGTGCTGGGATGACAGGCCTGCGCTTCCATGCCGGGCTTGGCTGTCATTCTTACACAGTGACAGCTCCTTTTTGTCTTCCGATGGCGCCTCCAAAGTGAGATTCTCAGATCCACACCCCTGTTTTCTCCTCCTATCATAGCTCCTTGACCCTCCTCGGCCCAGGGTCTGCGGATGTGGCTCAGTGGCAGAGAACTTGCCTAGCATATGAAAGGCCCTGGGTTCAGTCCCTAGCACTGCAAATAAAAAAAACTGCGCCCAGCCTTCATTGTTACCCGGGACCATGTTCACTGTCTGTCTACTTGGTCAGCTCCACAAGGGCAGGAAGCTGGGCCTGCCTTATTCTACTCCAGCCTCTGCTCTGGTGTTCATGGACTGAATAAATGCCCGTTTTTCAGATTGGTATAGGGGATAAGAGGCCTCAGATGATTTGCCCAGTCAAAATAAATAAACATGCCATCCCAGCCCTTGGGAGGCTGAGGCAGGAGGATCAATAAGAGTTCAAGGCCAGCCTGGTTCACATAGTGAACCCTTGTCTCAATAATAGCAATAAACACGTAAGATCTTTGAGACAGTAGTGTGACCTGGAGGAAAGTAAAGCTCCAGTGTGGTGGAGCAGAGAGAGTGAGGGGCAGAGACGGAGAAGGGAAAGCAAGGAGGCGGGAGGTGGGCCAGACCCCTGTGGGCTGCAGGGAGGACCTGGGCTTTGGCCAGGGAGCTGGGAGCCACTGGGGGCTGAGGGCAGCGGGGGCAGGGGGACCTGACTCGGTGTTGTGGCTGTGGGGACGAGGTGGCCGGGCTGGAGCAGGAGTTGCAGTGCACACTCCAAGGGTGCAGGGCTGTGGACTGTGATGGAAACGGCTGGAGTGCAGGGAGCCAGCTTGGGGGTTGGAGCAGAATTGACGATGGCGGATCCCCCGGGGTCTGTCGGGGCTGAGATGCTTGTTGGATGAGCAAGCGGCAGATGGGCCGTTGTATGTGAGAGTGCAGCGTGGAAGGGAGAGACGCCGCCCCCTGAGTTCAGATGGGACCATCCGTGTTGCCAGAGACGAGCCAGCGGGGCCTGGATGTGCGCCATCCTGGATTGTCAGGGTCACCCAGCCACTCGCGTGCGGGGCAGAGCTGGAGTTCCCGGAATGCTTTTTTGACACAGGGGTCTCACTGTGTAGCCCAGGCTGGCCTTGAACTCACTATGGAGCCCAGGCTGGCTTGGAATTTGCAGTGATCCTCCTGCCTCAGCCTCCCAAGTGCTGGAATTATAGGATTGTCACACCACGCCCAGCCCAACATTTTATCTATTAAAAGTTAAAAAAAAAAATTATAACATCACAGAGCAGAGGGCAGCCTGGCTTCAGAACCCAGCTGAAGGCAGGACAGGGTGATGGTGGCCAAATCCCTCTGGCCCTCACAAGGGTGTCCCTCTAGCAGCTGGGCCTGGAGCGCTTTCACGGCGTAGGCATCCTGGGGCTCAACTCAGAGGAGTGGGTGATCGCCAACATCGGGGCCATCATGGCAGGGTAAGGAGACTGCGGCTCCCCACGGTGTGCCCAGGCAGGATGCCTCCAGCCCGCCCCTTCCGGAGACAGTTGGAGTCTCATCGCTGAGTCCCCAGGGCAGGGAGCCCAACCCACCTAGTCTGTTCTCAGTGGGAATCGTCCCCAGCCCAGGCCTGAGCACACTCAGCTCACCCCTCTCCCTAGACATGGGCTCCCCCAGTGAACTCCTACACATCTAGTGAAGCCCAGGCCCCTTTACCCTCTCATGCAGACAGCCCTTTCGCTCCTCAGGACTCCCCCACACCGAGCACTTCCTCTCCCTGTCCAGATCACTGGCGGGAAGCCTTCAGGGCAGAGCCCACACCCCAGATAGACCTTGAGCCCCATCTTCAAAGAGGGCACGCTGTGGGTGGCAGGCTGTTAGGGACTCCTGAAACTCAGTTCCCAGAAACACTCAACACAGGCCCCTGGATTCTGCTTTCAGAGGCTTCTCTGTTGGCATCTTGTCGACCGCCACCCCGAAAGCCTGCCAGATCATCGCCAAGAAGGCTGAGATAAACGTGTTGGTGGTAGACACCGATAAACAACTTCAGAAGATCACCCAGGTGAGAGGCACTCGGGCTGAGGAGTCAGGAGGGCAGGCAAGGCAGGGAGCACACCTCGCAGAGAAAGGAAGAGCCAAGCGTGGTGCTGCACACCTGTCTTCCCGGAACTCAGGAGGCTGAGGCAGGAGGGTCACCTGTGAGGATCACAGGAGGGTCACATAATGAGACTGTCTCCAAAACAAAACAAAACCCTCAAAGTGGTCAAACACGGCACAACTGTGTGTGTTTTACCCCACTAAGAAGCACCGTGTGGTGGTGCCCATCTGTAATCCCTGTGCTCTGGAAGGCTGAAGCAAGAAGGTCCCGAGTTTAAACCAGGCCCGCACAACTTAGTGTCTCAGCAAGACGAGGGAAAAACAACATTGGGTAGAAGGCTGAGGGCAGGAGCATTGCAAGTTTGAACCAGTTTGGGCCACTCCTGGAGAGAGAAAATTTCTAAAGAGCCTGGAGTGTAGCTCAGTGGTTCGTGCTGGTTCAGTGACTGCAAAGTCCTGGGCTCCATCCGCAGCACTGAAAGCAAACAAAAAGGTCTGGGGTCCCCGCCGCCCCGGCCCGGTGTCCCTGCTGACGGTGCTGAGTCCCGTGTACCCTTCAGATCCAGGGCTCCCTGAAGCACCTCAAGGCGATCGTGCAGTATGAGGACGCCATCCAGACGGCGCGGCCCGACCTGTACTCGGTATGC